AGTTGACACACCATTGGCCGTGGTCTTAAGGTGTGCAAGGAGTGGCTTGGAGGTGCAACATGCCCTATTGATGCCGAGGTCAATTCACCTGTTTCTCCCACATCAGAGGTTTTCCCAGCCATTTTGGAAGGGGCTGAGGCGGAGTCCAGTAATGCCACCTGGAACCTCGCTGCTCGATTTTTTCTGGTCCATTTTGAAAATTTCAAGCAATGGACACAGGAATCTGTCTGGTGTGCTTCCCCAAGGCACAGGCGGCACAAAGAATGGCCGTCCGATGGAACGAGCTTGCTCCCACACCGGGAACACCTCTTGAAGAAGCTCCACATAGATCAAGATGGGGAAGGGGTGGGTGGCCAGGAGAGAAAGTTCAATGAAAGACGGTTCTTTAAAAAAAGTTTGGTTAGTGGAGTCGGCAATAGGCTTCATGAAGAAGAAACCAAAGAAAGGAGCTAAAGAAGAAAGGTAAATTCACTGACCAGAATGCTGAAGAAAGGCGTCCTGTTCGTGTGGTGGTCAGAAGAGAACTGGCCGGATGCCCATGCCCTGCCCCTGTGGGCATGCGCGGTTGAGTTCCTACTCATGCCCCAGGGAAGTACGTGAAAATCCCTTTTCTATGGAGCTTGTAAGCTACTGATCAGGGTCTGCACAGGCGCCTTATCCCATTGGTGTGATGCAAAGAGATCACAAAGAATATCTGAAAGCTATGGCAAAGTGTATGCACACTATGCTCTACATAATACAAAATCTAGATTTTAAAAAAATGGAAAAAGAGAGCATTCCTAATTCAGGAAGAGAATTTTAGAAGCAACACTAAAGCTGGCTGGCTATCTTATACCTTTCTTTGCTCTTCTCCTGATACTACCTTTTAACTGAGCAAAGCTCTGGCTTACAATTCTTCGAATGGGGTTTGGTGCACCCTTGCGCAGGTGTGGGAGAGCAAATTAAGTACCGCATATATATTTCTTTTATCTGTACTCTCCAAGAGGAGAGCATAAAAGCTACAGCTTAAGCGTTAATTTGAATTGAATGGGGCCTTGTTAAATTTATTGACATGAAATGAAAAATCCCCAATGCGGTTTTGAACTGTCATGCTACCCAGAGGCAAGAAATTTTAATTAAAAAAAACCCTCCAGGCACTCGGTATGATATACAAGTCTTCCATTCAAACAATCTTCTTTCCTGGCTCTTGCTCCCCATTTCTATCCTGCACAAATTCTTTCCTTTTCTTAAGCTCCTTTCCTGGATACACGAAACACACATCTGCTAATGTATGGTACTAAATAGTACAAAATAAAAAATTGCAACAGTCCATTTCCAGGCACTTTTAAACCTCATTTTAATGGTGGTTTTAACACTGATATAGTAAATTCTGGTTAGGAAGGTTTACCTGCTGTCAGCTATGCTGCCATGAAGGTTGAGGAGCTCGGTCTGTGTCTGGTTAATTGCCACTGTATTCCTTTCTGTGCTTTTTCTGCTTTGCGCTGAAATGCTTATCTATACAGATGTGCAGGAGGGAGTTGTATTGTCTGGGTTTTTCCTAGGTGCCGTGGGAGAGTGTTGGTTCTCAGCTTTAGCTACCTAACGGTCTCCAAGCTTTATCCCGCGCACAGGAGGGTGCCTAATTGGCCAGTGCTGTGGGGTGTGTGTGTGCATACGAATACCCTATATCCTATTATGCCCATGGGGCCGCCACCATTCTTAACAGCCCTTATGTTACTGCATCTATAGCTCTGCAATAAAAGTATTACCATTCTGGAATGCGTGTACTTCGTTGTTGGCTGTGGGTTCTGACACCTGCTCACTCACTGCATCAGACACTGGCTGTCGATGGGCACACAAAAGAGATTTCCTGCTATGACCTACTGTGCTCACCCAGTGATGGAACAGCAGTCCAGGGCCAGCGTTAACATCCCCTGAGGTAGGGCAGATGCCAGGGCCCAGGGCTTCCAGCAGGCCCCAATGCAGTTGACCTCCCCACTCATTTATTTATTTTCTAGCTCTCTACCATCCTTCTAGCTATACTTACTGCCCAGTGGCACTAAGAACAGGGCTGCAGGCAGTGGAGAGCACGGGTAGTGGGAGAACTCATGAAGGGGCAGGGGAAGGAGACAGAGGCATGTGGGAGGCAAGCTGGTGAGGGAAAGGGAATAAGAATGTGCATGGGGCCCTGGTGGTGGGTAGAAGAGGGGAGGGGGCCGCAGAGCCCCTCAGAACCAGTAACTGGCCCTGCAGCAACCACTTACACATATATAGTAATCATCTGTATTGAAGGGCAAAACACCAGATATTCACTCATTCCTATTGTTTACACCTTACCTTTTCTCCTATTGAGTTCAGGATGCCATAATAGATGGAGTTGATTCCATACACTGCTGAGCCCCCCCCTCCTCAGTGTCTGCCCTCTCCAGACTCCACCCCCAAATCTCTAGGAATTCTCCAGCCTAGAGTTGGCAACCCTACTGAGGTGTCTGTTGGAGGAAAGGGTCTATAGTGCCTTGTGTTGGCTGAACTGTGCCCCCTGTCTGCTGTCATGGAACATCCCTGGCAACAGTAGGAAGTGTGCATAGGCCAACCATGGCCAGATCCAGTTGTGTTTTTTTTGGGGGGGAGAGGCAGGGAGAATTTTGAACTCCCAGTACCTAATTGCAAGCATGGGGGAGACTTTCATTAACTTTAACTGTTCCCACAAGGAGGAAGTTCTCAGACTGAAGAGTAACCTTGTCATACTGAAATCTTTCTGCCCACCGTATGGAAACTAGACAGTGCTCCCTCTCTTTGCAACAGCATACGGAGAAGAGACTCTGATCGGCATGCAACTATACCTCACTTTGATTTGTAACTCCCAGAATCCTCCAGGGTTGTGAAGATAACAATTGCCATTTATTGCTTGCTAACACCAATTTAAATTATTACAGCAGTTTTATAACATTTTAACACGGATGTAAGCAAGAACCTAAAAAACCCAAAGGTGAATGAGGAGAGACCGAGAGAGAGAGACCAAGAGAGAGAGAGAGAGAGAGAGAGAGAGAGCTCTGAAATGCCAGAGTCTTAAAAGTATAATTGCAAAAATGCCTTTAAAGAAAATACACATAGGAATGTAGAATATTTGGTAGCCCATGAAAAATCTCTCTTTCTCTCTGGCTGCATATAAACAGCAGGTTTCTAGGAAATTGGAAGCAGTGTTGTGGTGCTCTACATGTTCACATTCTCTGTCCTGTCACATTCTCTGATCAAAGTGGTCTCTGCAGCACTTCAAGCAATACTTAGGAAAAGCCCAAATTAGCTCCCAACAACACAAGCAGCACTGCTGCAAGAGAAGTGTGTACATTTTTGGAGGGACTATTGTAGCTTCTGTTTGACTTTATGAAGTTCTTCATTATGGGGTTCTCTTTTTTCCCTGGCGGGAGATTGTCCATGGGGTCGCGAAGAGTCGGACTCGACTGTGCGACTGAACAACAAAATGTCTGTGTGCTTGTGCAAGTCAGGGCTTTTTTTGTAGAAAAAGCCCAGCAGGAACTCATTAGCATAATATGCCACACCCAACAGCAGAAACACATTAGCATATTAGGCCACACCCCACATGTTACCAGAAGTGTAGTCATCCAACCACACCCACCTTTTGCTTCTTATTCTCTTTACTTTGTTGTCAAAACCCTGGGCTTTTTTTGTAGCAGGAACTTCTTTGCATGTTAGGCCATACACCTCTAATGTAGCCAATCCTAATGAGTGTCTGCTGTTAGAGGTGGCCTATTATGCTAATTAGTTCCTGCTGGGCGTGGCCAACTCAGGAGCCAGTTCCTGTGCGTTCCTGCCCAAAAATAGCTCTGGTGCAAGTATACCTGTGTCTGGAAGTCATGTTGACTTCTGGCGACTCCTACTGGGGCATGGAGGACATTCAGAGAAGTGGTTTGATAGCTTGCCTCCATGTCACGACCCTGATATTCCTTGGAGGTCACCCATCCAAATACTTGCCAGGGTTGGCCCTGCTTAGCTTCCGAGATCTGACAAGTTTGGGTTTGCCTGGGCTATCTGGGTCAAGGCATCATGGGGTTTTCAAAGCAAGAGATGAGCAGAGGTCGTTTGACATTGGCCTTCCTCTACACAGCAGCCCCAGGCTTCCATCCAAGTATCAATCCTGTGCTTAGCTTCTGAGCTCTGACAAGATTGGGCTAGTCTGGGCTATTTGGGCTACTTCACAGTATTATTATCCCCATACCAAATACAGGGTGGTGGTGAAAGTTGAAAGAGAGTTCAGATTGCCTAAGGTCAGCTAGGGTGCTCATGGCAACGGTGAGATGTTTGAACTTCCTGACTCGCCATGTAGATTTTTATCAACCACGTTACACTAGCTTAAAACTAAATTAAGGAAAAGAAGATGCAGTCATTCAGGATAATAATCAGCCACTTGCCACTAACTGCATCCCCAAAATATCTAATAGGTACCGGACCCAGGAGACTCGTGCGACCACAATGTGAACAGCAATCACAATACCGATACTTATGCTTCCTGGAGGTAGCATCCCCATTTCCCTCAGGTACAAAATACTGCAGCTCTAAGTGCTCATAAAACCCACAACAGAAGCGCAACCTCAGGACTGTGCGCAGTGAACGAGACTCAAATGCACACATTCCCCGCAAAAAGGAAACTCGATTGTGCAGAAAGCCCCCCCTTTCCTCCATCGAAACATTAGCTGCCACACCACCATCATCATCATCATCACTCTGTTGCCTTGTAATTTAACTCTCTCTAACAAAGAAAGCAAATGTTTTTTAAGTAACTCAGCTTGAGGCTCCGCTAGTTTAACATGCGCTGGAACCTATTTCTCTGTCAATTGACAAAGAGGGCTTTAAAAAAAAGAAAGAAAGAAAGAAAAGAAGTCTCTGTGCAGCATGTCGTTGACAAGTTAGCCCCAGGCCAAATTCCAGTAATATCTCAACATGCCACTACAGGGATGGGAATCCACATTAAAGAACAGCCTGGCAGCAGAATCCCTCTGTACCTGTAGACAGCCCGCTTGTCAGCCTCCAGCTGCGCCTGAGGGTCGATGGGAGTACTGGGAAGGGGAGTGCTGGCGGCTGCCGAGGGCGTAGAGATGTGCACGGGCTGTGCTTTCGCCGGCTGTTGCGCTGTGGCAGTCATCTGTCAAAAAAGAAGACGAGAACGCAAGAGGCTTAAAAGACAGAACCAGATCAAACTCCTAAAAGTGTGTGCAATTGCTGGTGGGAGGAGAAGCGGCAAGAGCACGTGGGCTTCCGCGAGCTGCTTGCCAACAGATCTGAGCGTTCCCCGTGTCTCATACCGAAAAGTTCTTCACCTGCCTTCTAGACGCATTTATTGAACTCGGCTCATGCCAGAATGCTAGCTGTGCTCTCCCACAGGACTGTAATTATGTCTGTATACGTGTTCCAGGTTTGTTTGTTTGTTTTGTTCTTTATAGCTTTCTGTATCATCATGGTTTTTTAAAAAAAATAACGTGTCAGAAACTCAGCGTGCATAGATATTTACCAATCAATATTGGCTTTGAACCACAAGGAAAGGCAGGAAATAAATAACCATAGCTAGAGGTCCAACAACTATGGGGAGGATGTGCCCCCTCTCTCCCTGCAACACCACCCTGGTGAGAAGCTGACTACTTGGCCCCAACTGTTGGCCAGATTACAAGCAGCCGCAGGGTGTTTACTTCCCTATTCCCTGGCAGACAGATCTTTACTCTTAACTGCAGGCATGTTATAACGTCAATTTGTTATAAATTGCCTTGGGGATCATTTGATTGAGATGTGGGATACGCTTTTCTTTAAAAAAAGCATTCTTGGAAAGCAATGAGAAATATTAGAACAATTAGCAAAGAGGAGGTGGGGAGGAGGCAGCCTGATATAGCACGATCTCATCAGATCAGGGAAGCTAAGCAGGGTCAGTACTTGGAAGTGAGACCACCAAAGAAGACTTTGCAGAGGAAGGCCATGGCAAACTGCCTCTGCTTCTCACTTGCCATGAAAGCCCCTTGCTGGGGTGGCCCTATATTGGAGTGATGCCTGGTTTGTGTATAAAAAAGGATTTTGGGACCTTGGTTGTTTGTTCCTGCCTTCTAAACTTTACTTGATGATGAAACTCAGAAACCTATGCTTGAGTGTTTAAGCAGAAGCTGAAAAGAAAGCCTCTCTCCTCAAAGTTTGGAAGGCCTTGTTGAATAGCAGAAACACTTATTTGTTGGCAACACATTATCTGGTGTTAGTGTGAATACAAAGTTACCTCAGTTTTATTATCTGTTCACCTCATACATCCTACACCTGCTTCTACCTGACCTTTTCTCTTCCAAGTTAAATAAAACATTTTGTTTATCTTGAACTTCCAAAAGCCTCTTGTGTGCCATTCCAAAAGCAGAATATTAGGTGATTTTGTTGCTCCCCCCCGTTCCTTGGGCTGGGCCAGCATAGATAGATAGACAGACAGACAGACAGACAGACAGACAGACATATATCTTAAAGCGACTGGGTGGGACAGCCACAGACAAACAAATAAGAAGAAAATACATAAAGGGACTGCTCAGCTAGAAAGAAGATAGAGGGGAGAATCCTGCATATGAGGGAGGGAAGAGGGTGAAATCATCATAGGATGTTTTGGAGGTCATTAATTTATAGGGTCACCATAGGCTGAAAGCGACTTGATGGCAAAAAACACAGAAGAAGAAGAAGAAGAAGAAGAAGAAGAAGAAGAAGAAGAAGAAGAAGAAGAAGAAGAAGAAGAAGAAGAAGAAGAAGAAGAAGAAGAAGAAGAATTCCCCTCCCCACAACAGACACCCTGTGAGGTAGGTGGGGCTGAGAGAGCTCTCTTGAGGATTGCTTGTGAAAGAACAGTTCTGAAAGAACTTGTTACTGACTCAAGATCACACCAGCAGCTGCATGTGGAGGAGTGGGGAATCAAACCCGGTTCTCCCAGATTAGAGCCCGCACACTTAACCACGACACCAAACTGGCAAAAGCAATTGAGGGCAAAAGTTCTTATTCAACAGATGCATTTCTGATTCTAACAATTCATATACCTGTAAGTCTGGTAACAGGGTAATAGAAGTTTTAAAATGGGTAATGATGAGATCATTGATTCTCCATCCCTTTCTTTAACACCCAACTCAGGTTCCCGAGAGTAAGGGGAATGCACTCAGCACTTGCTGCAGATACTTTATATTATTTTTACTTCATATATTTATGGGCTGAGTCCTGGTATAAATTAACCTGACTGGGTTGCCCCATCTAAACAACTCATCTACTACGATTAGCAGTGGAGCTAGCCTTCCTCATGAGGTGGAGCCACCATCTTTCCAGGTGGGGGTTCCCAAATGAGTAAATGGGGGAGGGGGGATCACTATGTTATAACCAAAGAAAACTCTAGAATTCTCAGCAAATGTGAGCCTCTACAAGTATCTTAGTGTTTCTATTAGCATCAAAAACATACAACTTACATACGAATTACTTTTAAATTCAGACGCTTTTATCCACTTATAGTAAACTTTTGTTCTTCCACAATATCTTCAAATAACGCCTTCTGCTCTTTAAGGACTCTGCCACACTTGCAGACGTGCCACTAACTTCTTTAATCAGAAATTTTAGTACTGTAAAAAGATGTTTTTGTTCTTTAAACAGAAATGCTGCTAGTACCTGGGGGAAGAGTAGATGGAGCCAATTAGCACTCCTGGTGGGGCAGCACACCCAGCCCTACCCTGGCGACGGTCCTCAGCAGAGCAGAGACTTTTTGTCAGCAGCCCCAAGGATTTTGTTTCTTTGTGGCCTACGCACCCCACTTTCTTCTGCAGAACTGAAGGCAGTTTCCCCGCAGCTCTCCCATCCACTCTCATTACACCCAGTCTGCAGCATCTTATGCTTTCCAAACACTGGGCACTATGTAGGTTCCCAAGTGACATTTTTTTAAAAATATGTTTGTATTTGTTTTTAAATCTTCCTTAACAACAATGAACATCAAAAGCATTCCCCACAATGCAACATTATTTCAACCAGCTTTTCTGGATAACTTACAATCATTTTAGTGTCTTTTTGGTTTTGTTATTGTAATGTATCCAGTCCAGACAAGTCCAGAGACAAACGCCGAGCATCGCTCCAAGAGACAATGGACTATGCAGATCCTAGCCCGCTCCAATCAGGGGGCTAGGTTCCCGGCCGAGAGCCTATGAGACTCTCGGCCACTGTAAATAACCTATAGGGAAGTAGGGGTGTGTTTTGGGTGGCTGTTTCTCGGGGGATATAAGCCCGCCTCTGAGCTGGCCAAAGTCGTCTTGTTCCTGATCGAATAAAGTACGCTTTACTGAAATCACTCTCCGTCGGCGTACTTTTCAGTTATTTTTAAATTAAGAGTTTCATGCTATACTTTCTGTCAGGTGGTTTGTTTTGAAGGCTCCCTGGAGTGTGTGTAACAGTTTCTGTTTTTAGCATTGTGGGTGATGTTGGGATATGGCAAAAAAAGAGATTATGATGATGATGACTACTTGAAAACAAGTGAAAGTCACCTCCATTTTTGTAGCACAATTAAATAATTTGTAGGACACTTAAAATAAATTTTGTTTCAGGAGGGTAGCCATGTTAGTCTGCAGTAGAAGAGGGAGACCTGAGTCCAGCAGCAGCTTAGAGACTAACAAGATCTTGAGGGTATCTGAGCTTTCCAGGGTCAAAACTCCCTTTGTCAGATACAGAGGTCATTTCGGGGGGGATCGCGGGGGATCGCAGTTCCCCCGGGTGAGGTACAGGGGGCGGGGCACACGACGAAACCCCGCCCCCTGCTTCCGGCCGCCCCGCTTCCAGCCCTCATTCAGCCAGGAGGCAGGAGAAGAGGGAGGGTAAGTTGCTTCCTCCCTGCCTCTCCCCACCCCTGCCTGCCTGGGGCCAGGGAGGGCCTTCGCGGGGCTTCCTTGCACTCCTGCCGGCCTTGCAGGTCCACCGCCGGGCCCCTCATGGGGCTCGGCAGTGGAGCTGCAAAGCCGGCAGTGGCGGCCGGGACCATTGGGGGCGGGGTGTGTGGCCTTATGACACACTTCCGGTGATGTCAGGGGGTGTGGCCTTATGACACACTTCCGGTGATGTCAGGAGGTGTGGCATATCCTAATGAGTTATGCTAATGAGTTCCCCTAGCTCTTTTTCTACAAAATGACCCCTGGTCAGATACAAATATTTGTACCTGGCAAAAGCAGCTTTGACTCTCAAAAGCTCGTACCCCCCCCCCCAATCTTTTGGTCTCTAAGGTGTTACTGGAATCTCGCTCATCTAAAATACAGATCATTTTTGTATGGCTAACCTTCTGAAATGGTTTTTTAGTTTTGTATTTTTCATGTGCGTGCGCGTTTGTGTGCCCCTGGAAGTCATGGCAACCTCTGGTGACTGACCCCTACTGGGGGCCTGGAGGATATTCAGAGAGGTGGCTGAATAAGGCCTGCCCCCACGTCCCGACTGCTGATATTTCAAGGAAGTCTCCCATCCATGAACTTGCCAGATTTGACCCTGCTTAGCTTCCGAGATCTGATGAGACCGCGATTTCCTGGGCTATCCAGGTCAGGGTGCCTTCTGAATTTTTTTTTTTGAAACTTTCCTCCCTCCTTCTCCCTTTTAAACAAGAAAACCCTTCCTATCAAGTTTGAGATGGTGAATGACATTTAAGGGCAGGCGGTGGCCCTTCTCATATTAATAGATTCTAATATTTGGGTCCAGCACCCGGACTCTGCCTATTGCGGGCTATAGTCTGGATCGCAGAGACAGATTTTGTGCTACCCTGTGGCAGTCCCCAGAGTTTACACCAGATAGTCTTTGGGCCCCTTTGAGTCTATCATTCACTAAATTCTGTGTAATGATACTAACAGCTCCTGCCCTTTTCAGCACTTAGCTCAGATTATTTTTTGTAGGATTTATTCATTGCTGTTCCCCCCCCTCCCCTTTTTCAGAAGCTTAATGAAATTTGGTATCTACTGCACGCTCTCGCCTTCAGTCAAAGATGCGGAATTCCCGTTAGAGCTCATTGTTCAACCAGCGCAGGCAGTGCGTTGCCTGCTTTAGGTATAAGCAGGGCATTCTCTTTTATGATGGCTTTTTTCTTAAGCTACTATCATGCTTCGGAATAAATACAATTATCCCCATGTCTAACAC